TTTTTTTTTCAAATGTATCTGGTGTATATAATGATTTATTTACTGAAATGGTCGAAGCACAAAAAAATGTAAAATACGTATGTAGTATGTTCAAATTTTAAATAGTTTGATTCAAAACTCATATTATTAAAATAATGTTATTATCGTATTATAATGATTTGATATAATATATTAATAACAGCCTAACATTATGATAGTGGTGAATAAATTACGCGCATGTGCAGAATGCATAAAGTGCATTCCTGTGTTTAGACGCTTCTGACTTAACTAGTTATTAACTTAACCATCTTTTAAGACCGTGATTATTACTTTCATATTATCTATTATTTTCAATCAATTTATTATTATTATTATTGTTATCTTGCAATCATTAAATATCAAGGTTTTGAATTTTTTTGTAACTCACCTTAACAATTAACTTCCGTTATTTCAATTTTTACCAATTGAATGTGTAATTTAAAAGCAAAATGAATATTCCCGTCGAATTGCCTGTAGTTTATACGACCCAAATTTTGATTCCTGGATTTATTTTAAAAATCCGTTTGGAAACTCTAAAAAAGTAAGAGTAATATTTTTTTTATTAAATTTTTATAAAATCAATTATCACAATTATTTTAAAATTAAAAAAAACATTAATCATACGTTCTTCTGAATAAGATTAAGTTTTAGAATATTTTAATTGATCTTATTTTTAAGACTTGAAATTTTAACCTATTCAATATTTTTTAGACTATTGGTTTAGACTTTCGTCTAGACCAATGGTTTTCAACCGGTGGATCACAATAAGTCTTCTATTACAATTTAAAAATTCATATTAATATATACTATAGTATGTATGTCATATGATATTGGATAAAAAGAATTTTAAATAAACCTGAAACTACTATTTTATACTTGTAAAAGATAAGAATGAATTTTTTTTTTTCATACACTCATACTAAATTAGAAAAAATCCTCAATTAATATATGATACATGCCACTGATCATTATTTGTCAAGCACATAGTAGATGAGTATACTCAATATACCTCAATACACACTAACCTGAACATCTTTTAACCTAACCATCCAACATAGTAAAAGTACTTTATGAAAGCCAAACTTTGACAATTATCACATTTTTATTTCTACATTTCTATATTACAAAAAATAAAACTTATGTGAAAAAGGAAATTCCTTTTTTTTCAGTAGTGCTTATGATATTAACAAAGGAGTCGCATTGTAATCTATCACGGATTGAATACCTTTGCTATAGAGGATAGATATAAACAATACTATTTTAATGATAAACTCCAAAAATTTTAGATTTCATTATTATTATACATTTTCTTTAATGATTATTGCATTATTAAGTTTCAGAAAGTACTACTTTTATTTTTTTTCACATTTGATGTCCATTTAACTGTTTTCCTTATTATTTTATTGTTTATAACTATACCACTAACCTTTTATTTATTTTAAATTTTTTATACTTCATGTAATAACATTAATTATTTTCTTATTGTTAAATTGGGCTTATATCTGTTTAATTATTAAATAAATAAATACATAGTATATAGTATATATTATCATGGTTTTAGTTATGAAGATGAAATAACAAACATAACATGTTATTAGAAGATATTCATTTAATTGTATTAAAGAAATTTAATACAAAAAATACATATAAATTGAAAAGAAGCTTACAATAATACAAGTATAACTTACATATGAAGACCTTACTTTATGTTCATTTATTTTCCATGATGGATAAATGTTTATTTATGCTATTAATTAATTAATTTATGCTTTATTGTGCTAGATAGTTATAGTTTTAATTTAATTTATTTTACTATTTAAAATATATGTAATTATTTACTTTTATGATTTCAAAGATATTTTTTTAAATAGAAAATTTTATCTAAAATATTAAAAAATTAATTTATCCATACCAGACTTAATGATATTTATTTTATACTTATAAAACATTTATATTAAAGTATTAAATTTAATAATTGTTTTTTTGTTTTAGTTCAGATTTATTGAATTATCTATACCAGGATCTAAAAAATACAGAGTCAACACATATGATAGGAATTATTCCATTAATAGATATCGGAAAAGTAAAAAAAATATATTTAAATGTAATTTAAATATAAATTACCTAAAATAACAGATTTTAATAATTCCAGGTAGATAATGTAATTGGTACTGTAGGTTTGATTCAAAGTGTTATCCAAATTGGTTCAGTTTCTGAAGAATTTTTTTTACTTGTACAAGGAATATGTCGTTTTCTATTAAATGAGACTATTTCTGTTGAACCATTAAAAATTGTTAAAATAACACCTATTGACAATTTTAAAATTCTAAGTGGTATGATATATATATATATATATATAATTATATTTTTAATATATCGTCGTCCGCGGGAATAAATCTATTATGTGAAAAATTACCAAATTGAGGTTTTGGCATCACTAAATTCAGAAAAAAATTATATTAAATATAAATAAAACTCCTATTGGCTATCTTATTTCCATGTTTATTGAAATATAAATTAAATAATCTCCTTGCGTAGGACTAATCATAAACTTTTCTGGAATATCTCCAATGTAAATACTTAAGCTCTTATGTGTATGACGTTTTTAGAAAAATTTATAAATGTGTGAATAAAAATATGATTGACAATCACATTGGATTCTATCCTAACTTCGAGGTATTTTGGTTTGTGTTATATATAGGTTAGTGTCATGGGGCGATAGATAGATAAATAACTGTTTTGTCTCTACTGAAAAGTAGTTTATTTTCACATAGGAGATTTATTCCCGCAGACGACGATATATAATATTGCAAAATATTTAATTTATTGATATAATTTAGGTGATGAAAACGAAAAAACAGAACTCAAAGTTGAATTTGAAAAAACATTATCTAATTTAATAACATACTCTGAGCCAGGCATAATAAACCCATTAATAAATAAAAATTTTCAGGTATAAAAAAATTGTTTAATTAATTCATGTATTTAATTATATATTTATTTATTTTACAGAAATTTTTAAAACAATTTCCCTTACATTTAATTATAGAATATTTTTTAAAGAATATTATTCAAATAACCCCATCTGATGCCTATGAGATTCTTAGAGCTACAAGTTTAAATGCCTTGGTGAAATTTGTTATAAATTGGATGAAACAAAAAACTATTAGTATGTTATTTTAATTTTATACTATTATTGTATGTATGTTTTATCTAAATTTAATATATAAATAATATAAATATTTTTTAACATTTTAAAAATTGAACCTTTCATTCTGTAGAGGAAAACAATTCTTCAACATTTGATAAAACTGGTCTACTTTCTTTACCATCAGCAGTTATAATTGGTTCTAATACGGATAAGAAGAAAATACTTAAAAAACACCTATCACCTGAATTAGAAGAAATATACACGGCAATCAAGTTAGTATAAACTGGTACTAGTAAATATTGTATAATTTATTAACAAATGGAACCAAAAACTAAAAAATTTTAGAAACTCTAATATGCCAGCACCAGTGTATGATGTAATTATAAAAGATTTTAATAGACTCTTAAAAATGAATAGTTTCCAAAGTGATTATTCTGTCTATTTAAACTATGTTAACTATGTTGTTAATTTGCCGTGGAATAAGAGTACAAAAGAAACTTTAGATCTAGAAAAAGCCAGAAATGTAAATATCAGTTAAGTGGCACCTATTTCAAATTTAATTTAATTGTTTTCTGTTTTATCATAGGTATTACAATTGGAACATTATGGTATGGATGAGGTCAAAAAGAGAATAATACAATTTATTGCTGTTAAAATATTAAACCCAGAACGGCGAGGACCTATACTTTGTTTGATTGGACCACCTGGTGTAGGAAAAACAACTATTGCTAAAGCCATTGGTGATTCATTAAACCGCACTTTTAAAAGGTTTTATATTGATAACTAATATTATTTAATAAAAAAAAAAAAATGGCACACATTTCTTGGATTACAGGATATCGTTAGGAGGTATAAATAACTTCTCAGATATTAAAGGACATAGGAAAACATATATAGGAGCTATGCCTGGTCGTATTATTCAAGCTATCAGCCAAGCACAAACAAATAATCCTATTATTTTATTGGACGAAATTGATAAGATGGTAGTATATATGAAAAGATTGATGATTTCAATACTTCATTATTCTAATTTATACATATTATAAGTTTTTGATAATCATTGGTGTACAAATCATAATTCTTATTATACAATTTATATATTTTTAATACTTGATATTATTGTTTACATTTGATGTTTTTTTTTTAGTATAAAGGCCCAAATGGTGATCCTGCTGCTGCATTATTAGAAGTACTAGATCCTGAACAAAATAACTCATTTGTTGATTCATATGTCAATGTACCGTTTGATATCAGTCAAGTTATGTTTATCTCAACAGCCAATCATGTTGCTGGTATACCACAAACATTGCGTGATCGTTTGGAGATAATTTATTTAGAAGGATATACTGTTGTATGTCAATTACATTGTAAAGTAATAAATTGATTACATTTTTTTTTTTTTTTTTTTTAATTTTATAGGAAGAAAAAATGAAAATTGCAGAAAATTATTTGATTCCAAAATTACTTAAAGACCTTAAGATGAATGAATTACATATAACTATTTGTAAAAACACTATAAATAATATTAGTATGTCATTATTAATTATAGTTATTTGTCATTAAAATATAATTATATACGAAGTGTTAAAACTTTAAATAAATAAATAATAATAAATATCTATGAATTTTATTTTTATTTAGTAAGAAAATATACTTGTGAAGCTGGTGTACGTGAACTGCAGCGTAAACTTGAAGCAATTTGTCATTATATCGCTGTAGAAATAGTTGAAAATTCTGATAAAGAATCAAAGAATTATGTTATCACGCCAGAATCCTTAATAAATATTCTTGGTGTAAGTACTTAATAGGAAGTATTTTAATTTTATTTTTTTATTTTATTTTTAAATTATTCAGAACGAAATATACAATATAAACAATGTCCTGGTTGAAAAAAGTTCTGAACGAGTAGGTATTGCAATTGGATTATCATGGTCTCCAACGGGTGGTCTTATTCAAGTAATTGAAGCATCTAAAATCCATTTTCATAAAAATAATTCTCAATTAGTATTAACTGGTCTAGTTGGTCAAACACTGAGAGAATCTGTTGCAATAGCACTTAACTGGATACAATCATTTGCTAAAAAAGTAAATTATCAGTTATTTAATTTAATTTTATAATTAAAATAAAGAAATTGTCTAATAATTGTATACTTATGAACTAGAATGAATTAGACATAAATAATTGTTGCATTCATGTTCACCTACCATATGGAGGACTTAAAAAAGATGGACCATCTGCAGGCATTACTATTGTTTGTGCTATAGTTTCTCTTCTCTGGGAAATACCTCTGAAACCAATGATTGCTATGACTGGAGAAATATCACTAAAAGGAGACATATTACCTGTAACTCATATTGTGTTTATTCAAATGTTTTAAATAGTTTTTCATATTAATTATTTTTATATTTTTATATAAGGTTGGTGGTGTTAAAGATAAAATATTAGCAGCATACAATGCCAATTTAAGAACCATCATTATACCTGAATTTAACATGAAAGATGTCAATAGCTTACCTGAAAATATTAGAGTAAGTATTTTCTTCAATTTTATAACTGGTTAATATTATAACATTACTGACAATGTAATACATGTATAAAATATATCTAAAGACTTTATTTGTAAAACTTTATTTTATTCAACACATATTAGTATTGCTGTATGACTTTTTGTTTTTAATTAATTTTTTAAGCAATTATATCATGACCAATTACTCTAAATATTTTTTACCTACTGACTAGTATCTATACAATTTTTTTTTTTTTGCCAATTCTCATAAACATTACAGCTATAATTATTTATTTTAATGCTATTTAGTATAAATATTTAAATATAAATATCTTATTTTTTTTTAGGAGGATTTAAATATTATTCCTGTCAATCACTTGAAGGAAGTATTAGATGTGGTTATTCCAGGTGGTTTAGCCTTCCTACAAAATCCAACAGTAAATTTAGTGCCTAGATCTAAAATCTAGTTAACAGATGCATTCAGAATGAGAAGTATTAATTTACTTTTGATCACTTATGTAATTTTTAGTTTTTGTTAAATATTTTTATGCAAATTATGTGGTTAATTAATATTATATTCATTATTAATAATATTAATATAAAGGAATAGAATGTGACGTCCAATACAATTGTGTATCTGTATTATAAGTATAATTTGCTTAATTGTTTAGTAAGTTATTAAATTTACCAATTATTTTAAGAAGCATAATAATGTATAGGGAAATAATGGTTTCAAATAAAGTATACATTTTTAAAGTTGGTATTTTAGGTATACATTTATTATTTATGTATAACCAAAAAGTTCAATAAAGTGTCTTATTAGTTCTTAATGGTTACTAAAGAGACAAAAAATCAAACTTTTAAATTTTATTTTAATTAGAAGACAAATAAATAATTGATGGATTTCAATAAAAAATGCAATATTTGAACGCGAGACTATAACAATAAAAAAAAAAACACAAATTTTAACATAATTTCTTTATTTCCAGTAAAGAGTTAAACAAAAAATATTGACATTATAAAGTATAGTAGTATTTAATTACAAAATGTATAATATAAAATGTTACAAACATACATTAAATTTTAAATAATATTCAATAATAAATTATTTCAAAACTTACAATCCTGTAAATGATTCAATGGTGGCTGTTTGACATTCAAAAAGCAAACAGAATTCTTGCCTTCTGCACCACAGCCAGTAAATAAAACGGCACAAAGTGAAAATGAAGACATTGCTGCCCAATACTTTTCACACCACCGATTTACTAGGTCTAAATTATTCTTATTTTTTAATTGCATATGTGCCATGCAAAATCGATTATTGCTGTCTTCCATTGATTGACATACGGCTTCTAAAACAGCTTTATTGGTTGAATGTTCATCAATGACTAACTTAGATGTTGACCATATATTGTCATATGGTGTCATTAGATTTTTTTTCAAATGTACTTTACCTATAAAATTTTAAATTAACATAATTATTAAATTTAAAAAAAAAAAATTTAATTATTTACATTTTTTTAGAGTACCAATCCAATAATATGTTAATATAATAATTCCTAATATTTTTTATATTAATAATATATATTAAATATTTTAATAAAATTACATGCTGATGATGTATTACTAGAATAATAGTAGCTAATTATTACTACTGCTACCTAGTATACTATTATTTGAAATATTATTATTGTACCTTAAGCTGAATAAACTACCAAATTACATTACATTTTATCTTGATATTGGTTAAACTCATGTCAATACAATAAACATGATATAATTGTTAAATAGCATAAAGTAAGATTATACATTATTAATGATTAAAAATTACCTATAGCTGAACTTTCAGATACACTTTTTAGTAATGACAAAAACTTTTTAAATGTTTCTATATGCTTGACATTTATTTTCGTTTTAGTATTTACAAATTCAGCTAATCTCTTTTGACCTATTAAATATGCATCTCCATAAGTCAGTGCTGTAAAAAACCAGTATCATATTAAAATTGAAAATGCATATTACATTAAAATGTAAAACTTACATTTACATAATTTTAGCTTTACTAGTAACATAGTAGCACGGCTGTCTTCAATAGGATCATGGCCCAGATTACCACATTGAATATTCATATCTAGAAATGATTTTGCTAAAAGTTTTAGTTTACTTTTAGACCCTTTACATCCATTTAAATTGAAAATAATACTAGTGTCTATAATGTATGGATGAAATAACTACAAAAAAAAATATATATTATTTGAGAATATTTTTTTTTTAAATAATATTATTTTAGGTAAAAGACATTATTTACTTTTAATGCTTCCAAATCACAATTTAATGATTGTCCAACCAATATTGCATCTGGAGGTAATAATTTAATAATAACTTCTTGTACATCTGACAATGTGGTTGTAACATCTTTAAGTTTAGATGCTGTGATTCCAGAATACTGGGTTAAATAGTTGGTAATTTTATTATTTGGTTTAACCAAAGCCTCATAGATAATCTAAACGTAAACCACAGGTCATTTATGATCTTCGTAAATATACAATTTTAGTTAGTATTAGAATCTTACATCCAATTGTTCATCAACAATGGAAACTCTAGTGAGTTCATTTCTACCTATGGATGTATAACACATTTCACAATCAATGGCAAACATGGGGCTTTTATCAGTAACAGGTTTGTAATGACTTTTAGTGAATCTGAAACCATCTAGTGTGAATTGGCGTTTATTAGTCGGCAAAGGATAGTTATGAATCATCATCTGATTTAAAGATAATAATAATCGGGTCCTTGAACAAACTTCTTTATTATCAACATTATCATTTTGTATCAAAGTTGGGTTTAAAGATTTTTCGTCAGTGTTTGACGTTTTAGATTCTGTATCTGTTAACAATAAAATTAAATCAAATTAAATTTATTTATAAATCTAAGTATGGTGTAATAAGTAAACAGTTTAACTTATTAATATTTATTTAATGTTAATTAAACAGTTCCAAAACAAAAAAATGACTAGAAAATTTTAATATACTTTATTACCAAAAATGTAATGTATTCATATTTAGACTGGGATATGAACATATTAATTTTGTTGACCAGAATATCACTATTTTCTTATTGTGTAATAAAGGGGTACGTATTTAAGTATACAACCATGCTTTGAATTTATAATTGAAGCAAATGTAGACAATTATACATATTTTAAGTATAATATTCAATCAAAAATTTGTTGTGCTCTAACTACTACTTAAATCAAAATAAAAATTGTTTACGAAAAAAAAATAATTTGAATACTTAAATTAATATTTACCATATTCAGCACACCAGCTTGGGGGTAGTTCAATTTCAACAGGAGGTAAGAATTTATACTTTGAAAACATTGGTAAAGAATTTTTAAAACGTGAAAAATCATCAACTGTTTTTACTTCACAGCCATCAATTATTAAAACACACGTTTGATTTAAATTACATTGCATTTCTAAACTCGACCATCTAAAATTTAAAACGATTATTAAAATGTTTAAAAATATATACAAATTATGCTCACATAAAAACATACCTTGGGACAAATTTTCCTGGTCCATAAACCGAGTATAAAATTAATTCATTTAGTTCTGAAGGTGACAATGGACTTTCACTACAACCATTATCATTTAATTGTGACAACTGCCCACGAGCATTTAGTACTATTCTTGGGAAAGTCTAAAAAAAAAAAAAAATTGTTAATTAGATTTATTTACAGGATTGGTAATAGGAATTAGGATTTAAATTGTATAAAGCAATACTAGTATATTCATTGTTGATATATAATTTATAATGTTATAAAAATTAAATTTATCATTGATTATAAATAGACAAAAAAAATTAGTTATTAAATTGTATGTTAACATATTATAATAAATAAATTAGTTTAATGGACTAGAATAAGATATGAGTTCTAAACATTTACATAGAATGTAAATTAAATTAATAATAAAAAATATCATACTTTTGAGAATAGGATCATTTTTTCGATAATATATTAAATCTCAAATTAAATGAATAAACAGTTTTTAATATTTTATGAAAAAGCTTGATCGTAATAACACAGAATATGAAAAATGTTAATGCTTATACTGTCTATACAAATATAAAATGGTAAATAATAAAATTTTAGCTATTATCAACATAAGATTTAATTGTTATACATAATAAATAAACAATTTTGAAAAATTAGCAGCCAATAAGTAAATTTTAATAATTCAAGATGATTATAAAAATAATAAAATATATACTTCATATATTTTAGATTTTACTCAAATTATAAATTACTTAAATGTTTATACTTCAAGATAATTTTAAGTAATTAACAAATACAGAACGCGTAGATTTACTTAAAAAAAAAATGCAAAAGAAAATTAATATCAATTATTTAATAAAAAATCAACAAAAATGTTTATAGACATATTATGTATATCATATTGACAACTTTTAAATACTAGATTTTCAGTAGGTTACTACTAAAAGCGACATTACATTCTCATGAATGGATTAATATTGTACCGATAACTTCATTATTAGAGGAAAATTCGGAGATAAATATTATATGTGACTTACTTTCAACATTTTTTTTTTCTCTTTCAGATATTTCTTGAGTTGAGCATACTCCAGTTCGGTGAGAGTCTTTATCGTTCCATCTTCTGTCGGTTCCCGCGAACAGATTCGCTTCACATTCGGACAAATCGACAATTCGCATAACGACGACTTTTTGTCTAACTTTCGTTTTCCCATGATACAATTGGCTTTAGCACTTGGTAGTTGAATTACAAGGTAAGCAGAACGCGTAATATTGACCACGCGCAACAGTCAGCCTTATGTTATCAACAATAACAATAATTATTTATTTCAAAATCTTGTTATCATTATAGTTAGTTTATCTATGATTATCATATACAGTCAAGCACGATTTAAGATATACCTTGTTGTATCATCACCTAACACATATATTAAATTTAATAAAAATTAATATATTGTCAGCAAACACACACCACCTTCACAAAATGCTGACAATATAGATTAGAATAGCATAAAACGCCGCCCGCAAGACGGGATGAGGGTTCGTTCTACTACCATCGACGTGGAGAACGAAACGCTGCCCGTTTTGCGAGTGACCGGTAATTATTTTGTTTTTGTGGTTAATAAATATTTTTTTTCGTTTGCTTTAAAATAAAAAGTTTTTATATTATTATTTTTTCTACCTTACGTACTCGTGCAAGTTTTGAGAGAGTTGGCAAACTAACGAAAGGGGTAAATAAAATTATATTGCATTTCAAACCTCAATCCAGTGCTAGATTATAATTCTTTGTCAGTTTGAGGGGAGAGAACAATATAGTTAGGTAGAGGTTACCTCACGCTCGAAACATCCAGTGCTAGATCTTGTTCTTTGTCAGTTGTTTCGAGTGTAAAATAACTTTAGAGCTATTAAAGGAAAGTAAACCTTTTAAAAAACCTGTTTTTCGACTATTCTATTAAGCATTGCTAGATTGTATTCTTTGTCACTTAAGAAGATAGTCGTCCGGGTCAATTATTAAGTTTTCCTCTACTTGCTTGTTTGACAGTTAGAGTGTCCGATAACCAATAATACCTCGTTTTGTGTTGTTATACGCCAAGCCTTTGCGTAGCGTATACGACAACCTTTAACCGTGCACTCAGGATAGTTGTTGATAAGTGCTCGTCAGAAAAATGATAAGGAGCCCATAAGAAATAGGAATAATTATTATTAGCAACCCACGAATTAAGATATACTAAGTATTAAGTATATCTTAATTCGTGTTAGCAAACGTTTATAAATAATAATTACCATAAATATCTTATAAAAGTTACATTTAAGAAGTTCAAATCTATTAAGAATTAAAATTATTTAGTTATTTTAATTGTTAAGTCACATCCTTAAATTGTCAGTTTCAAGAACACTGCTTGTCTCAGTGCTGGCTCGACGGTTTTTGGGGCCCGGTGCAGAATTTTGAGAGACTCCATACAAATATATTAATTTAATAATTGTTTATAGAAATCGATGTTTTTTCATATTATTATGTAACTAAATATATACTATAACTGTATTTCGAACTATCCTTGACGATAAACAATTTTACGAGCTATGCGTAATTGGTATCATCTTAATTTTCATCAATAACAACTCGTTTACTGAGAAGACCACACGACTACGCAGGTTGTGATTTGCGTACTGGGATTTTTTATTATTTTCATTTACAAATAAAGTAATAATCGTAATATATAATTTGTGGAGCCCCAGGGGTTTATTTAGATTTTTTTTTTTTTGGGAGGGAGCTGTGGTATTTTCTCCAACTGAAATTCCCCAATTCAGCCTATTAAAAACAAAAGTTGGAAACATATTATGCAACATTCACCTATAATAGCGAAAATTAGTAACAACTATTTTGTACAATTTATAGTATTTATACATTTTATCTTATATATTTAATATTTAAATTAATTTTAAAATGGCACCTCTCAGTGGATGTGCCAAAAGAAAACTAAAATTACAAAGAGAAGAGCAAAATGATAAAATATGGTATTAATAGATTATATACTATATTAAGAGTTAAGACCTTTAATTCTATCCTCGTAGAAAAATAACTACATTTTTCTATTAATTAATATGTAATAAAGTAATTATATTTAATAACTCCAGTCTCCATTACAACTATTCATTTGCTCTACTACCTACCTACCATATACATTAGGACATAATATAATTTATATTCATCAAATGTAAAGAATTTATAAAACTATGATAATGTTCTTTTATGATAAGCCAGCCAAATGCCTTACTGCAAGATCTATAAAGAAGAATCTTTTTTATAGATCTTGGCCTTACTGCGGGGAAGCGCTCGTACTGACCAAAGTCAAAAATTGATAGCAAGCTTCAGAACAGTGTCACCATCGATTAAATTCTGTGGTGTCACCACTGATAAACAAAACAAATCTTTATTGGTCTATCATATCATAACCATGTTCATAGTAAAGTCTTTCATTTAATCTGTGGTAGTGCTATAGCCTAAACTGTTCATATAATTTGATAATAGTCTGTATCCGTGATCGGCCTTAATGTCGTTAAAATTTAAGTTCTCCTTCGCTCATAGAATTTATAGCATGTCACTTGCTTGAATTTTGCTTGTCCACGCCGCAATAACAATATTAAAATGAGTACAAACGTTAAAGGTTCATGTGTTGATGTTTTGGTATGTGTAGTATAATTTAATAATACATTTTATTATAGTTAGCAGTAATAAATTATTTGAAATTTTAATTTAATTTTTTTCTTAGGATTTCAAATGCTCGGCATTCTGCAATCTCCGTATTTTCAATGAAGGACACCAGTTTAATATATCAGCTGGAATGATCATAAGTTCCAACAAATTTGGAATGACAATTATTGCTTTCCCTAATCAACTTTGTTGTATGATTTATATACATTACTCTTAGTATATTAATATTTTTATTTAACATTTTATAACTAAGAATACGATTTTAAAATCAGTTCATATACATCATTAATACATAAAATCATGAAGTTTAATTTTTATTTTAATTTTTCGTGACTTACATATTTTTTTTTATAATGATTGAAACAATGATATAGTTTATAAGAACACTATACTAATATTTTTGCATTTTAATTCATTAAATCGAAAATATTTACTATGTGAATATTATAAAAATTAATTTTCTCAAAGTTCGTATTATAATTATTTAAATGATAACTATATGTTTTGGCCTAGACTGTTCATATTTTAGTTAATAAATTAATTAGCTTTGTAGTGTGTCATCAAAAATTAATGCAGGCAGCTGCATTCTTAGGATATTTGATTGGAAGGGTATAAAAACATTTTTCTCGTCATAACTGCAATATTAAGTAGATCCTCAAATCATATCATTTTTTACTTAAATCAGGATAATAATATTGTTATTTCTTTTCACAAATTAAAAGCAAATATACATATTCAATATTTGTAAAGATAATATGAGAAATATATCCCCTATATTTCCTTCCCCACTTATGAGAATGCCCATAAAAGCAAGAAGAGTCTTACAATAAAATATATTATTTCTAAAAAAAATTGAATTTATGTTCTCAATACTAAAATATTACAAAGCAGTAATTGTTTTTTGTTTTCGTAGAAACATTTTACTAATTCAATGGTATTTTTACCAAAACCTTATAAGTTTTATACCTATTGACCAAACTATTAATGTATTATTTTAAAACTACATATTTTTAAGTACAGTAAATATGTTTTATTTTTATAGTAATTTCAATGAAACACGTTCGTCAGTTAGTTGGTGATTTTGGAGTTGAAAAAAATACATTATCCAACTTTTTAAGACGTGAGATTGAATTAAATTTTTCTCCAAATTTTTTGGACCTTAGTTGTGATGAAGGTTATTTAGCAGTTGCTGGAACTTCTAATTTAAAACCTTCAATTACCATCTACAATATTGAAGCTTTGATTTCTCATGTATTATATTGAATTATTGTTTTTTATTTATTTTCTTATACATTATTAACATTTTTAATGTTTTATTTTTAGAGTAATATTTCTCCTTTAGTATGCATTAACTTTGGAACTACTCAAGGTTCACATGTAACTGATATGTCATGGAATCCAGGTTTACAAAATTCTTTGGCATGTTGTTTGTCGGATGGTTCTTTGCATATAATAGAGTTAAAAGATGATGGAACTTACTCTGTTGTTAGTTTACCACCACAATCAAATACTCTGTATGTAAATTTATAACAATATAATTTAAAATATTTTATTTTACATATTTATTTTATGAGCTAGATGTTTGAGTTGGAGTCCAAAAGGTAAACAAATAATTATTGGTAGTTCAAATGGATCTTTAACCCAGTATAAGCCTGAACTCAAAGCTGTTAAACAATATATGCCACCAACCGATGTTACAGCAAATATAAAACCTAATAAAATCAAATGGATATCAAATTTTCAATTTGCTGTTATCTATGATATTATGGATAACACAGACAATCAACCAAGTTATTAACTTTTCACCATCACTTTGTATAAATATTGAATATTATGGTATTTTTAATTATGTATTGTGCATTTCTTTTAAAGGTCTTTATATTCTTAACACACCAAAAAATGCACCAATAGAATTTATTAACTTTGAACAATATGCTGTTATGAATTCTGAACAATATAGATTAAATCAATATTATACCATATTTCAACAAAATTGGTGAGTTAATTTAGTGAATTTAAAAAATATATTTTATATTTTACCATCATATTACATTTTTTTGTTTAGGAATCTTCTTTTTGTGGCTTCATCAAATTGTACAGAAATTGGTGTAATGGGTATAAATAATGTAAACCAATGGCAATGTTGGATGTTAGAAACAAGACCAGAATTACCATACAGACTTGATAAACAAATGTATCCTTTAGGAATGTCTCTAGATCTTTCTTCACAAATGCGAATAAAAAAATGTAATGTTATATTTTTATCATTTTTATTTAATATTATAATTTTTAAACAAACTTTTGCAGTATCCAAATCAAATGAAGAAATATTTATTGATCCAATGCCAGTGTTATGTGTTTTGTCAAGTGATGGTATATTATTTATGTATCATATTGAAAATCAGTTGACTGATTATCAAAACATATGTAAACCACCTTCAGATATACCAGATAATGTAGTAGCTCAGCTATTTACCACCAATTCTAAAATAGTAAGTTTCTTAATGATTATTAAATTATTTTGAATCATTCCTAGTCTACAAAACACAATAAGTCTTTACAATTTACTAAATCGTTAAAATAATAAAAATCTAAAGTAGTAGCAAATATTCTCATTTATAAAAATAAATAATAAAAATTGAAAAAAAAATTGGAAATATTATTTCCTGGAATTATATACTTTTTGTTGCATTAACCATTAGATTATTATTTTAAGTATGAAAGTGTATGTGCAATCACTTTATCAAATCCACTAACTTCAAAGTAACTTCATTTAGAAAATAAGTCTAACTGCTAATTTCTGATTTAACTGTGATCTTATTCATCAAAAACTTAAAATTAAAATTAACAAAAAAAAAAAAAAAAAGAATCCTATGTACTTAAAATTTACTATAATTTTAATGTAATTATAAATTATCAAAACCATGTTTAAAATTATATGCCTTCCTATAGTTTGTAACAAAAATGTTATTACTCAATTTTTGTTCATATTTAACTTTTTTCAATATTAATCAATTATATTTATTAATGTGTATATTAGACAATTCTCTAAATCTTCTACATTCTCAATACATAAAAACAGTTATTTATTTTGTTTTGTATGTATTATTATCTTTGTTCTCATTTGTATAATATGTTTTCCCAAATTAAATCTATAAAAAGATAATTGCTTAATATATTTTTGATGGAAGTAACTTATTTTTTTTTTTTTTTTTTTATCTAAGTAAATCTAAGAATATACTCTACACTACATTAAAAAAAAAATTGTTATAATATAAATAGTCTAAAAATGTATTATTATTTTTTTTTTATTTAGAATAATGTTCTAGTAGATGAACAAGTTATAACTGAAGTAGTAGAAAAAAATAATGTTGTGTAAGTGAAGACCATGTGATCATATATTTTTAAATAATTAAGTTTAATCAAACTATTATATTATTAATATATTTAAATATATAAGTTATTATTATTTATTTCTAAACTATTTATGTAGTTTGCATTTTCTATGTTATTTTTATGTAGATTTAAAAATTTAATAAGTTTTCTATACTTTATTAATAGTGATGAAAAAGCTAAAGGTGATCATAATGAATCAGTTCTTGCAAGCTATTTAGAAACTTCTATCAATTCTCAAGCAGAACAACCACAAATATGTCAGTTAAGTTTAATTTTGAATATTTTATTTATTAACTTGTAAATTATTAATCTTATTGATGGTTATTAGTTGATGTCCCTAAAGTATCAATTGTTAAACCAGTTATTCCTGCTACTACTGTAACTATTTCTACAGTACAAAATGTACCTAGTCAATCAAATCTTTCTGAGACAAATAAATCAACTGATGAAGCTGTAAATCAAGTAATGTTAAATGAAGTTTTAGAAGATGTTCAAATATTTCAATCACAAATAGAAGATATCTTAAAATTATCATTAAATACCAGCAAACTTAAGGTGAGAATTTTTTTTTTTTTATATATAAGCCATAGAATCGTTTTTAATTATGTAATTTCAATAGATTGGTGATGATAAAGATAAAGAAACACTTGTGAAAAAATGGACTTCTCTAGACATATTTTTCAAAGATTTAAATGAAACTAATCGTTCACAATGGACAGAGAGTAAAGCTCTTCAAAAAGCTGTATTAGATTCTATAGCTTGGGTGGAAGACTCAAAATCTCGTCTATTCTTTTTGAAAAACCCAAAGTAACTCATTCAAATTTATTTGCAAGTATTAAGTAGTTTAATTATTTTTTTGTTAAGGTATAAATGTCTTTTGAGAAATAATAGTGATGAGCTATATAGTAAAACACTATTTGATAATATAGAGCGTACATTATACTATATTGAAACTCAGCTTACACATGTTGATGACCAACTGAAAGCTAAATATGACAGCTACAATCCTAACAATAAGTAAGTTTATTTTAAGTTCAAAATGAAAATTGTATTATTATTATATAATAATTATAGGGAATTGAAAATACCTTGTTTGGAAACTATATATAAGTCACTAGTAGTAAATACAAATATAGTGAATAAGTTGAAAGATAAAATTAATAACTTGTGTAATACTGCAGAAGAAATGAAATACAGGACTTTTAAGAAGATATCATTGGTACCAGATATCATACAAAATACTTCAAAGTTGAATGAGTCTCGGTTTGTTAATTTCTATTTATTTTGTGTATTACATTATAATATATAATTTTTTTTTTTATTTTATAGTGATATTGGTTTATCAAAACTTTCAGAACAGCTATTAAAAATTACATTAGACAAAGATGGTGTATCTGCAATTAATTCATACAATATTGCCAAAAAATACTCCGTATTGTCAGCAAATCAACGAGCACTCTCACTTTCAAAAGTTAATAAACTTCAAGAATGGTTAAAAGATTTTAAAACAAGACGCACAAAAATAACTAAATCTAATTATGCAAATATAGATTTAAGTAGACCTGTTTGTAGTACACCTTTGAAATTGGTATCAAAACAAAAAGTCCAAGAAAATATCATAGATTTTACGCATATTGTTACAAAAGAAAATGTTGCATCTATTTTGTTACAAACACCTTCACAGAATCACACCTCTATTACCAATGAACAAACAGTTACAGAAATAATGTTACCAGTATCAGGCAAGGCTAATTTAGTGCAATTTAAAAAACCTTTATTTATTCCAACCACACAACCAACAAATTCAGTTATATTTCCACAAATAACTCAAGCTCCAATTGTAACAAAATTTTCCTTGGAATCTAAACCTTTAACTGCAAATGCACCAATCTGGAATCCAATAGAAAATAGTTCAACCCCTAAATCAGCTTCTCTTAATGAAATGTCAAATAAGTTTAACTATAAAACGTTTACTAAAGACCCTATTATTTTCAATTCAACTAATATTACTACTCCATTATTTGGAAATAATGTAATTCCTACTGATACTTCTAGTAAAAACCCTGTAGACTTTAGTGTAAAATCCACAACTACTAAACCTTTGAATTTTGGTAATACTCATAACATAATTTCAACTAAGTCAACTTTAGATATTATTTCAGGAACAACTGAATCAAAAGAAAAAACGCCTTTTAATTTTTCTAATATGTCTACTATGAAAACAGAAGCAAAAAGTAGTATGCCAATGACCTTTAATTTCGCTGAATCAATTAAAAATAAAATGGATAACCCAAAGGACACACAATTAAATACTTTTAATTTTGAATCACCATCATCATCAAAACCTTCGGAAATTACAAGTTTATATACTGGATTTAATACTGATAAATCAGTAAATAATCAAGAAACAGTTCCAACAAAAGATGTAACCTTATCTACCTTTAATTTTAATTCAAAATCTGATATTAAATCATTATCAACGTTCAATTTTAATACATTCAAAGAAGATATTTCAAAACCTAAATCATCTGAAACTCAAGACATAACTTCTACATCAACAGCTGTGAATACACCTTTTAACTTTTCACTTCCGGCTAAAACAGTACCTACAACGATAAGTGAACCAACGGGTTCTACAATAACATCATCAACTTTTGGAGTTTTTAAGACACCTCCAATTTCTGATTCAGTGTCTATAGTTAGTTCAAGTGCTAGTGTTACTGATACCACATATCAAGTCTCTGAAAGTCCAACTCCAATAATATCTGAACCAGTTACTCCAGAAAGTGAAAATGTACCTACAACTCCAAATATTACTAATAATGCACCAATTTTTGAAATGCCATCCACAAGTTCTTCAGTTTTTGGCTCGTCTATTAATTCAACAAACACTATTAGTAATCCAACTAGTACAAGTGCACAAACATCAATTTTCAGCACTCAGACAAATGCTAATAGTGCTGCTTCAATTTTCAATTCATCTACTACTACTACTGCCTCTTTAATTTTTAGTTCTTCTACAAATACTACTAGTACTGCATCAATTTTCGGTACTGCTGCAAATACGACTAATACCTCTTCAATTTTTGGAACATCAACAAATACAACTGCCTCATCATCAATATTTGGTACAGCAACTAATACAACCACAGCATCATCAATTTTTGATGCTTCGGTCTCTACTGCTTCATCATCAATATTTGGAAATTCTATGAAAACTACTTCATCTATTTTTGGTACACCTGCCACTACTGTGACTTCATTATTTGGATCATCAACGACAAATACAAGTGGATTTGGAAGTTCAATCCAGACAGCAACTGTTTTTGGTTCTCCTACTACAACAAGTTCATCAATATTTGGTAACCCAACCAGTTCTGCATCATCCTGCAGCTCAATATTTGGTTCAGCATCTACAACCACTTCATCCATTTTCGGAGCACCAGTCACAACTAGTACAACATCATCTATTTTTGGTTCTCCTTCAACAACAGCTGCTTCTAGTGGCTTATTCGGATCTGTAGCTGCTGCAGCTAATCAATCATCATCATTTGGTCAACCTTCTTTAGGATTTAGTTCTCCTGGATCAGCATTTGGTAATATTTCTCTTTTTGGACAACAAGCATGTAGTCCATCTCAACCATCCAGTAGTTTTACTCCAGCTGTTAATCCTTTTGCTGTAAATAAAACTTCTTCAAGTACACCATCATTGTTTACTAATCAAAAATCCTTGTTTGGCCAACCAACAGCAAGGTAAATATTAATTTATTGTTAATAGTTATACTATAAAATCTTTTAATATACACAAAAAATATATGTAAGAACTATTGAAAGGCTTAAACGCTTTTAAACTATTAAAACTATTATAAATTATAATGACTAATTGACATTTGGTTGATAAAATTCAATATAAATAATAAATAATAAATGTATTTAATATCCAGTAAAAAGGAATCTATAAGAAATTTAAAAAACCAGTATTCTATGAAATTGTTAAAACAATATTACATTTATAACAATTAAAACTTAATGTATTTTTAGTGCAACAAACACAGGTTTTGGAGTAGCAAATTCAGGATTTGGTTCTATAGCTAATAGTGGATTTGGTAGTCCAGCAATGAGCAGTAGTCAATCAAGTAATTTAGGTTTTGGATCTCCCCCAATGTTTGGCAGCATGGGTATGTAAAAATTTAAAAAAATTATTTTTCAATGTAAAATTGTTTTTGTTTTTTTAGGAACTACTTATGATATGTCTAAATCATCAGGTTTTGGCCAAGCACCTGTTTTTGGTGGAGCCGCTACATTTGGCTCAACGCCACCAGCACAATATACATTTGGCCAAAATAGTTCTACACCTGAATGTATATATATCCAAAAATAATTTAATTCAATTGCTTTATATATTTTTTTCAATTTTCATAATTAATGTTTTATATAGCCGGATGTTTTGGATTTGGTACAGCTGTTCAACAACCATCAACTGCATTTGCATCTTTAGCTACTCAAAATAATACACCAAGCTTTGGTAATATAGCACAAAATCAAAACAGTGGTTTTGCATCTCCAACTACCCCTGGATTTGGTCAACAACAACAAACAAGCCCATTTAAACCTCAAGGCGCTACGTTTGGGTAAAATATATATATATATAAAATAACAGCCCCTTTTTGCTTTTTTATATTCTAATTTTGTAACAACACTATTTAACATATTTCCGATTTTTTTTCATGAGTTGTTCCAGATATCTTCTTGAGTGTCACCACGTTGCCTGATATTTCATTTTTATTTTTCTGATGGGAGGGAAAGGTGGATTGTAATTTTTCAAAATGTTGACAATACTATATACAGTGGAACCTCTATAAGTCGAATTTTCGATATCTCGAAGGAATGCCTTAGCCCCTGGCTTCCGACATATGATATATGTGATAAATTTTCTCTATAATTCGAATTTCTCGATAAGTCGAAGTAATTTTAGTTGAATTTTAGCTTATAACTCGAAGGTCAAATAACCAAGTACATATGTATGTATGTATTATTATAAATAACGATTATTCGTAATCGAAAACCGATTAATATTATCAATCTTATCATTACCTATACTACTTAAAAGGTACAGTTATAAATTCAACGATATATGTAATATGTCTATAATACGATATAATGTCTATATCTCCGATAAGTTACGTTTATCTACTTTATAAGTGTATTTATTACTGGTAAAATTATACGTCAATTGAAATACAAAATGTATACGTCGATATTTAATATAATGCTGACTCAGCTAATGTTCAGTTTATTTTGTCAAGACAAGATGAAAAAACGCAGTCTAAAGTCTCTAACTTTTTATTCTTTTATTCTACTTTATTTATTACATTATACTTTTTTAACATTTTAATACAATATACATACCTATATAGTACATACATTATTAATTTATTAGTAAATACATAAATAAATAAAATTATAAAATTAAAGTCTTTGTGTTTTTAAATAAAAAATATTTTCGATAACTCGAATTTTTTGGCAGATTCGAGATATCGAGGTTTTCCATAAGTCGAATTTTCGATAACTCGAACTTTTTTTTCGCCCCCAACCGATTTGAGTTATCGAGGTTCCACTGTATATATATAATATGTATACTGATTTATGTTATCAATTATTATGTATTCAATGTTTATATGATTTGATTTTTTTTCAGCGGAAGTTCCTTTAATTCCTGGCGCTGAGACAATATTTAACTCCATAAATACTAATTGTAAAATTAGTTGATATTATATACAAACATTTAGTTATTATTTACAATTTTTCAATTTCAATATAAATTTAATTTTATTGTTTATATGTATTACTAATTAAAATGCTTGGAAAAAATATATTCATTTAATTTGTGATTAAATAATGGAACAATTAACCTAATTTTTTAAACTTAAATAAATTTATATTTTTTTTGTTGGTATAATTAGTATTATTAATTATATTTTATTGTTACAAGCTTCAGAAGAAAAAAAAAAGTAATTTCTAAGATTTTTCTTAGTAATAAGTATTCAAAATGGTATATGGTTACAACTATGTATAATCAAATATTACACATATTTTTTAACTTGTTTTCTTTCTCAACTAAATGCAATTGTCCATCTACCTTCACATTGGCCAATTCTATACAAATATCTCTTCCTCTTACCTAAAACTTATTTCATTTATCTTCTTACTATGTACAATTCACCCTAACATAGGGTTACCAGATTATATTTTTCTAAACCCAGGACATTTTGAATGGATAAATCTATATATATGAAAATGGAGCCAAAAAATGTATAACATTTCATCAATTAAGAACAGCTGGGCCAATTTGGCTCAAATTTTTTTTAATTTTTCATAATTGCCAGAAGGTTTTTACGAAAAAATTGTTGGAAAAGTGCTATGGTTTAATTTAATAATTTTTGACCCAATCGATAACTGCGCAAATGAAAATGAATTATTAAATGAAACTTAATAACTATTAATTTTATTTTTGGTATTAAATGACGGGTATTGCATAAATATTAAACAACAAGATACCGAAACAGGTGCCAAAACAAACAAGAATATTAGTTCGAAGGATTATTATGCATATCGGTTGATGATTAGACGCGATCAGGACAACGTTATTTCACGATGCCGTGGGCTTTATCAACAATTCATGGTCGACATGTATGTAAAAATAGAAAGCGAACGATTTCGATACTTACGATTCAATCAAAAAAAGCTGCGTGCAGAAGATTTTCAAAACAATTGTTAGATATCGGCGATGGGAAAGTTAATACAGATGAAACGGGTTGTACAAAATTACCGACCGATTTTTGCACAATCATTGATTCGCAAGATGCTCTCATTAACCAGATATTTCCCAATATACACAGACAATACACAAATCATGAGTGGCTGGCAAAAAGAGCAAATTTAGCAGCAAAAAATGTGAACGTCAACGATTGAATCTTAAAATACAACATTTGTTACCAGGAGACTTGGTGTCATACAAATCTATTGATACAATTTGCGATGCTACTGAAACTGTAAATTATCCAACAGAGTTTTTTAACTCATTGGGTTTACCAGGCAAGCCACCGCATAATTTACAACTGAAGGTTGGATCTTCGGTTATTTTGCTTCGTAATTTGAACTTATCACGGTTGTGCAACGGCACGCGATTATTCATTAAAAAATTAATGAAAAATTTTATTGAAGCCATCATTTTAAATGACAAATTCCCATGTAAAAATATATTATTACCGCGAATCCCTATTTTACTCACAGATGTGCCTATACAATTTAAACGCCTTCAATTTCCAATTAGATTGGCATTTGTAATGATTATCAATAAGTCTCAAGGCTAAACGATGTCTGTCTGTGGCTTAGATTTGAGTACATCATGTTTTTCAAACGGACACAATTATACGTGGCGTGCTCTCGAACCATCCAGTTGGTTTGTGTAGGCGAAAGATAACAAAAATTTTGTACACTCTGTTGCATTAAGGGATTGATATTGTTTTTTACTAATATTATCATAATTAGCGATATATATAATTTTAAAGGATCAATTTTAATAAATTATAAAAAATAAATATTTGATGTTTTTTCATTTTTATATTTCGTCACCGTTCACAGCACCAGTGGCGTATTTAGGAATTTCGCTAGAGGGGGATGAAATATATAATAATTAATAATACACCCATAAGGTCATAAATTGGTTGTTGACGAAGTAAGGGTCTGAGAAGGTGGAGTCTTGAATTGAGAGCTTTACGCTTGTTTTTTAAGTGTGGACCCCCTGTAAGGGGTTTGTCAAGAATTAAACCCAAATAATTAGTTTGTGTAGAAGATGGAATTTGTGCATTGCCGATAAAGGTTGCGGGACATTCTAAGGATTGAAGTGTGAAAGTAATTTAAGAGGATTTTGATGGATTAACTTGAATTTTCCAGTCGTGAAACCAGGTGTTTACCGCAGTTAGGTGGTTTTGAATTTTTTGGGCAGCTTGGATGGGATCATTGTCAGTAGCAAGAATAACAGTGTCATCCGCGAACGTACCGAGTAGTGTGTTTTTGTTTAGAGGTAGGTCACTGGTAAAGACAATGAATAGATGGGAGCTATATAGACATATGTCACTGCCTTTGGGAACACCAGCAGTTGCTATTTGAGAGTTGTAGAGCACACATACTTATAAGTAATAACATACTTGAGAAATATAGAAATGAGACAACTTAACTACCTATATATAAAAAAAAAGGTCAAGGGGAGGGATCTATCCCCCATATCCCTCCCCGTAAATACGCCACTGCACAGTACTCCATATATCTTCCATTTATATACCACATCCTTACACACTTATATTAAATAAGTTATTTTTTTCTAACAAAATATTCTCTAGAAATAATTTACCTTTATGACAAAACGTTTGTCGGGTCAGCTAGTATATATATATATTAATTAATTATGTATAGAAGCAATATAATAATAATAATAATAATAATTCATATTCTTAGTCTTAGTCTTCGGAACTTTCGGAGTCCAGAGTCATCTTCTGTTGATTTTACTACATATTTGACTGATCCATGCAGTGGCGTATTTAGGGGTGGTGTCCTGGGAGTTAAACCCCCCCCCCAATTTTTTTGTAGTTCTATTTATTACTGAAGTATTGCAAAATATTGTTGACGAATGACGAAATTTTTTAAAACTGCTTTGAAAATTGATTAATGTATATTTCATCTTATACCAGAAAATAGGTACTATTCATTATCAAAATATTATTTGAACTTTCGCAGTAAACCGTGAACTACGTAATTCTTAGAATTGTATTACCGTTCCGTGATGTCGGGTGAGCCGTATTATTGGTTATCGCCTTATTATCTTTCTTCGAATACAAGTTATTGTCAACTAACTACTATAGCAAAGGCCGACGATATAAAGTATATACTGTGTACAGTGTACAGTATACTCGAAGTACCTACAACGATTTTATTTTTTGCTCAATAATTAAAAATTTAAGTAGATATCCTAAGATTTTTTACTAAAAAATTACCATTTATGTAAGGTATTAAGATGTATTATAATCAGGTATAAATTCGTGATGAAACTATGTTAATATTTGTTGAGATAAAGTATTGCCAGGAGTCAGGACACCCCCCAAAAAAAATCTCAAAATACGCCACTGGATCCATGAACTTGTTTTAATAAATGTGTTTCCCAAAAAAAAGATGTTTTATTGAAGCACGTTTTTATAATAAGAGAAGCTTCTACCGTTTTTATAACAAGTTATTTTCTTGAATTTGTCCATGTACTGTTTCAACTGCATTTAAACCCGGCTAAACAAAACTAAATTCAACAACTTTTAAAATCTCAAAAAATGTATGATTGTTATCAGTGAATATTTTAAAAATATATATCCATTTATTTTCTATTTTTTGACAATGCCAGTCGTCATTTTGTTAATAAATTTTTCAAAAATTTTGAACTGTTCGAAAAACATTTCTGCATCGAAGTTAACAGATCATTATATTTTGTTCCACAATATTGTTATTCCTAAGTGAACTAACCTTTAACTTTTTGTTCCATGATACATTTGTTCCAATATGCTTTTATTCTAAATCTTTTTCTTCCAATGGATTTTTGTTTCACAAAATATTTGTTCCAAAGTAGGTACTTTTTTCCAATAATATTTTGTTCCACACACGGTTTAAGATATAAATAATAATAATATAATAAATTATATATCTTATACCTATATCTTAAACTGTGGTTCTGCATGACACTTTTTCCATCCGTAGAATTGACATAGACGTATAATAGAATAGACCAGGAATTGATGGCCGTTCTACATGTAATACGTTGAAGCCAACATGTGTGTGAGAGAGACAGACAATGTGCGATTTTTTCATGAAAAAAAAATAGTAGCTCGGAAATCGTGCCACAGTTTAAGATGTTTATCTTTTTTATAAGTAATTCGAAAAATTATATTATTAATGAAATTAAAAATACAAACAAGAGGAAATAAATAGATTTTATTTTAAAATCCGTATCATATTATTTAAAAAAATAATTATATACTAATGTATCAGAAAAAAAAAATCAAATAGATATATTATAATCCTGTTATATGTCTATGAAAAAAATAATTAGTTAATAAACGTATTATATGCAAATTTTTCGTGTTTTTATTTCGTGTTTTATGGCGCAATCTCCGAATACACTTTAAAAATATATATTTAGTTTGTGTGTCAATATCAGGGTACTAAAACACAAAATGGTTTTTTTTAACAGCTTTTCAGTTATTATTTGACTATTATTGTTTGTTGGAAACACACTTAACACACTTTACATTCATAGAAAGGTTTTGAACAATTAAGTCAGAAATATAAATGGATATCATTACTTTTCAGTTTATATTACAATAAAAAGAAACAACAGGTAGGTATATAACAGATTTATAATTTAATACACTTTAAGATAATTACATTTAATAATAATAATAATAATAATTTAATAATTATTGATGTTTAAATACAATTAATTTAGTATAATAAGAACGTATTTTATAATCAATATCATTAGTACTAGAGTTAATATGATGCAAACATAATTTACAATAAATATTTATAGTTATTTTTATGAGTTGAAGTACATGATTATTTAATGGTTCTTGATCAATTATATGTAATGAAAGATTAGTGAAATATTTCTCGATATTTATATTTTTCATGGCTTCCAATGTTATTTTATTAATAAAATTGCTTTTGTCAATTGCTTGAAAATATCTGATAGTGCACTCTGCAATTTTACAAATTTGAACAACATCATGACTAGGTTTGATTAGTCCACCTCGATTTTTCGGATCCAAAAGTTTAGATTATGTTGATCAATACAACACATGTATCACATGTAATTG